TAAGTATATATAAATTTATATACATATATATATGAGTGCTATATTCACACACACTACAACAGATAGTCAGACGCACAATGCAACTCTAGCTGATCGGTCAGATACCAACCTATCCAATTCCCACAGTTAAATCGGTATGGTTTGGCGACATTTGGATCATTGATTGTTAAACATATTTGGACAAGCTGGTCAAAACGGAATGATTCCAATCCAGTTGGCTGCACAGATGTACAGATTCAAGTCCAATTTTACCAGAAAGAACGACAGTGAATCAGTTCCGGTGCGGTAACGAGAGTACCTCCCTACCATTATTTCGCAATAACCGCCGGCAATTGCAGATATTCATATATGTATGTATATACATATATGTTGTAATAGACAAATGTTAAGGTTTAATTTTGTATGTTGGTCGGTCGCTGACTATGTAAGAGTTGTATTGTGGTGCAAAATTTCGTATTTTCTGTTTGTATTATAATAACATTATCTAAAAACAAATGGTGTTAATTGTTTTACTTCTTGTGATTTACATATTTGAATGTACATATAAATTACAGTGATTAATGCAAGAATTACATCAGATTGCATGAATTTCGCCATCCCCTCCTATGGATTTGTCAGCTGATAGAATTTTAGCTTCCATTTTCTAACAGTTCGATGCCCCTATCATCGCGAACAGCTGACTAGGTGTTGCATCACATAGACATTACAGTAATCATGAACAGCTTTACTTGTGGCTCGACTTGTGTGTTGTGTGATGAATTTTTTTATCATATGGTGCATTTACGCATATCTATTCATGAAATATAGCAATTCGCTAATGTTTAAAACGGAGATCATATTTGTTCACTTTAGCGAACTTCCACAGTAAAAGTTACTAGAAATAAAAATGGAGCAAACTATACCGCCAAATTGCGCGGAGTTGCCATATCGCAAACAGCACATTTCTAAAACTTTATCAAACGTTCTAGCACTTGCAGTTTCATATGTATACTAATAAAAAGCAGTATGCTACTTTCGTCCCAAAATAAGTATGAAATGTTTAGCTTTATTTAAATTATATCCTAGCCTGGTCTGTTGCTCCATCTTAAGTTAAAGGTCGTATGTGTTTTTCACGTATTGCGCTCTCTCCATTCTCGCAAACCGCCATACTGGCAAGCTCATACCGAAAAGTGCGCTCTCTTTTCGCTCAATCTATTTCGATTACATACTTTAATCGGTGGGCTCTGGCAGCTCGTTTCGCGTGCTTTTTAAATGAACTAACTATTCGCATAAAGTTGTCGAGCCGAGTGGACGTACTGGTTTTCATCGAGCTATAGAAATAAAAAGGTTCGCATCAACGCGCTTAATTAACCAACTAATTTGTCGCTAAACTTGAGTGTACTAAAAATAAGTAAAGTGAGTTATTTCTTGAGAACAGGTTGTTTAGTAGAAAGAGAGCAGCAACAATTTTCTTTTTTTTCTCTTGAATCATGAACATTTCCCAAATTATTGATAAAATCAAAGAGAAGTTACAGCTGAACGTAAGCCTTAAATGATGATTGCCGTTGTTCTTGTTGTTGTGCAGAAGATTATTTCACAAGTTTTGCGCACAATGTCTACGTATTATATATGTATGTACATATACATTCATACAACTGCATATACATACATATGTACATAGTTTTGTTGGCACTCACACATACATACATGCTGCTCCCGACGTTTCCGCTGCTTTTTTTCATCGCAATTTTAGCCGGCAGCAACGTCATATCGGCAGCGGCAACGACAGTGGAATCGATTCTATCATTCGATCATTTTTATTGAAATGAATTGAAAGTATTTTCACATTAGGCACATAATATTGTAATTGCAAACGTTTAATACTAAATGTACACAATTTCGTGCCATTTTTGCCTCATACCGTAAAATTCCACAAATTCAAAAGGTCACGAAGGGGAAAGAGTCTGCAAGTCATTCAGTTATTGCACTTTTCGTTTTGCGCCCATCTTCTACAATTGGAAATATTTGTTGGTCCGCCATTTTTTTGGATCAAGTTTCGCCATCTTTGTCTGTGCCTTTTGAAAGGTCTATGGAATGCTGGGTCGAATGGAAGTTTACATTAAATTAATATTTGCACGATTTGCACTTAGTCTTTATTCTTAAATATATGTTTTCTCAAACAGACAAAATGTACCTAAACGTAAAGAAAAAATAGAAAAAATCAAAGGACTTAGGTTTTGGTACGTTCGCAGTCTTAACACTCGTAGTGAAAACGTATCTAAAAGCTACGTGGAGCGATCGGCTTTTGGTTCGATTGTACCACAGCTGGCGTCGCTTGATTGCATATGAAAAATCCTAACTTTATTTGAATCCCTTTTCTCAGATGCCACAACTTCAAAAACCCGCACCCGAATTCTCCGGTACCGCCGTGGTCAATGGCGCCTTCAAGGAGATCAAGCTGAGCGACTATAAGGGCAAATATTTGGTGCTCTTCTTTTATCCACTCGACTTCACCTTCGTCTGCCCCACCGAGATCATTGCATTCTCCGACCATGCGGCTGAGTTCCGCAAGATCAATTGCGAACTGATTGGCTGCTCCACGGACAGCCAGTTCACCCATTTGGCCTGGATCAACACACCACGTAAACAGGGTGGTCTAGGCAACATGGACATTCCACTGTTGGCCGATAAGTCGATGAAGGTGTCTCGTGACTATGGTGTTTTGGATGAGGCAACTGGCATTCCATTCCGCGGCCTCTTCATCATTGACGATCAGCAAAATCTGCGCCAGATAACGATCAACGATTTACCAGTTGGCCGTAGCGTGGAGGAGACACTGCGTCTAGTGCAGGCCTTCCAGTACACTGACAAGTATGGCGAGGTGTGCCCAGCCAACTGGAAGCCCGGCCAGAAGACCATGGTGGCCGATCCCACCAAGTCCAAGGAATACTTTGCCACCACACCCTAAGCTAACCATATATGTATGTATATATATATTCGCCCAATTTGATGCGTTGCGATATTCTTCCATTAGATGGAAGGGAGAAAGAGAGAATACGAAGTGGAAATCAAACTGCGTCGCACTTGCATCAAATGGAGAGGCTGCTCACATACACACAAACTAGCACACACACACAACTGCACCCACATATTATAATATAATGATAATCTAGCGCTAGTTCGCACTATATGTACCAAGTACTAATTTACCCCGAACCCTTCCCCCTACAAGCAACACACATAAATGTATACATGTAATTTAAGCAGAAAGTTTTCACAAGTTCTGTCTTACTTGCAACAATAAAGCCGCATTGAATCGTAATTGAACACGTGGGCCGGTGGCTCAAATCGTTTACTTATTTTATCTGCGCAGGTTTAGTCACTCCCTTCCGCCGGCCGGTATTACCGGCCATGTCGACTTCGACTTTGCCTTATCTTTCGACTCTGCCCACAGCTGATGAATTAACTGGACGACCGTCTGGACGTGATAACGATTATGGAAATCTTTAGCCGCTTCCCGTTAAAATCGACGTGCTGCACGTGTATAAGTGACTCTAGCTCATTGGCCCACTGCCCAAGTGCAATTCCCGTTTTCTCGTTTTCCATTTCGTTGCGTGTGAGTGTACAGCAGAAGCGGTTGGTGCAGCGCTGCCACTTCCACTTGCTACCCGCTAGATCTAGCTTTTTTCCTGGAAGGCTCAGCTTGCTCTTTAAGCATCTAGCCCATTCTATGCTACACAACTTAGTACCAAGCGAAACATAAAGGTGATCAGTTCAATAAGATCGTTGAAGCATTTTATATGTACATATGTATGTATGTGGGTATTTTGCGCCTAGAGCTTCTCAAGCGTTCGCAATGCTGTCGGCCGGTGTTCGCCTTAGTGTTGGTTTCAGCATCACAGCAGACTTTGTTCTCATTGCTGTTGTTGTTGTTACTTTTGTGATTCTAGCTCATCACGCGTTGTGCTATTTAAGACAAGGTCTACATCCCCGTCTCTTTGGCCAAACTCGTTCTTACACACACAGTCTCTCACACACACAAACAGAGGCGCATGTGTCGGCAAAGCTTTCAGCGGTTGCTGCTATCTCATAGAACCAACTAGAAACCAACCAACAAAAACCCTTTCAAACCGCTTGCCGGCTGCGCTGCTTTTGTCAAATGCACACACACATGTGTATACATTTGTATGTATGTAATACATGTATTTATGTACATATTTTAGGAGCGCAAGTAAAGCAACAGCTGCTGGAAATAAGTTGCTGCTTCATTTGTGAATGTACGTGTATACAGCATGTGCTGGAAACACATACATACATACATACATACATTTGTATGAATATTTATGTAATTTTAAAGCAAAATCCTAGCTTATAGATTTTACATATGTATGTATATATGTATGTGTGTACATACATACATATATATGTACATACATGTGTAAGAACGTTTCTTGATCTGCTCTAAGCCGCAAATCGCCAATTTGTTGTAAAGCTGTTTTGAGATAGCGCCCCAAATGATAATGAGTTAAAACAATAATATTATTGGCTTCGGAGCGGCTGAATCATAGGAAACGAATTTCTAGTGTTTGCGCCTGACAATTTGAAAGGTAAAGTAAAAGTCGAAGAAAAAACATTCTCTAAAAAACAACATAATCATCATGATTATCAAAATGCTCGCCAGACCGCTAAGTTCCACCGCAACAGCGAATCGAAGACGTTGCCAATGCTTCCCCACGCGATTATTTGGAAGCTCTTAGAAAAACAGGCATAACTGACAGGTTGAGTGCATTACATGAAATGACATTGCAATAACAAGTCACAATATATGCATACACACACACACACATACATATATAGATTAAAAGTTCGCCGGCAATATAAATTATTAGTTTTGTTGGCGCAAAGTTTTATGGGTTGCTTTGATACAATTTATATAGTATGTACATACATATGTATATACGATGAATATATATGTGTGCATGTATTTATATAGTCAGAAACTGATAAGGAAAGGTAAAGTCACGATAGACGCCATTTCGAATTCCGTGCGGAAAATAAATATACCCGATATTTATGCAGGTAAGGGTATACACACACATATGTACATACTATTGTATGGTATGCGTAATTTTGGGTCCCCAATCTGGCGTATCATTTCAATTAAATATGAGCATTTCTACACGTACATATGGCCTGCTTAACTATGCTCACACTTTGTAGAGATGTTAAGTAGCATGTGGCGTGTGATATTATTGATAAATCTAGCTAATTGATATAAATCAATCTAGATAACTATTTCTGTATAACACGCAATGGCGACGATGACGATGCTTTATTGCTTGTCTAATCCCTATTTAATTACTGTAAATTGACTATTGATTGGGGTCCTTTGCGTGTGCCAATAAATTGTCAGTTGTTGGTTGTGTTCCATTTCTCTTTTCTATTGGAATATTAACAGTTTTTAATCAAACCTAAGTTCGATCAGTTGATTATCGATAGTGCCTAAAAGTGTGCAGCACATTAATTTTCAATGGCCGATTAATTAGCGACCTGCCAACTCGGCTTAAACACACTTTGCTAAACATTGGACGAATTCTATTTGATTTTTGATTGTTAATTCGTAATCAGTAAACTTATTTCTATTTGCTTGCAACTATTATCCTAACGCCGTGATTTTCCATATAGCTTGTTTTTCTTTCCCAAGTAGCGATGGGAGCGGGATAATTCAAAGAAATAACGGTTACGATGTGTAATAGTGCGTGAATCACTAGAACAGTTACTTGTTTTTAGGCTAGTTGCAGCGCTCACATTATGATAATTCTTAATATCTGAAATAAAAAAAACGTTATGTGTATTGGGACAATCTTTCTACCTATTTAATGATTTAAGGGATATCTCACTATTCTTGCCGTTTATATATTGCATAGTTTAAGCGAATATAATTTTTTGCGGCTTTCCACACGTGCATACGCACAGCGAGTCCAAACTACTTGACACAAAACAATTGCTTATAGGGAAATTTACTGTTTTTTACTTAAGAGCTTAAATTTGTATGTCATATAAAAAAGGATTGTTATTTAAAAATTATGTATCCATCATTTTATTTCGCGTTTTATTAGTGGAACATTCTTGTCTTGAATGAACGATGTTGGTATTTGTTGTTCAAATGAACGTGAAACGATTTTTCATTTTATCATTTATCGCGACGGGGAAATAAAACAACTTTTACATATTTAAACTCCCCACACACACGAAATAGCTTTAGATGTTGTTAGCTTCATTCTCCTACTGCTCCGCATTTAGAAGAAGAATCCAAGGATTTTGCCACCAAGATGTTTTCTCCTGGCCTCCTCGTGATCCATAATGCCGCCGGATGTGGTCAGAACGACATAGCCAAACTGACGAGAGGGCAACAGGTTGTTGGTCCACTTCTCAATGTCGTTGATGGGCACATCGAAGCGTGGCGAAATGACGCCGCATTTGTTCAAACGTCCGGTTAGATTAACAACGATCTTGCCAGAGCGGTGATCGTCGACAATCTCGAATTCGCCGATGTAGCCATGCTTCATCATCACAGTCAGGAACTTAATGATGACTTTGGAGCAGGGGCGCAGAAGCACCTGACGCTTGCCGCGCTTCTCGGCGTTGTTAATGCACTTCAGGGCATCGGCCAATACGTTCATACGCACCATGGCTGCAATTAAAAACAAATCAGTTTCTGTTTTATACAAAATACAATACACAAAAAAAAAAAAAAAAAAAAAAACTGTCGGTATGCAAAAAGAAAACACGTGCAAGTACGGCGCCTTAAACACTAGTTGTGCGTGTTTGTCAGTCTCCTTTCTCTTTCCCCCGTAATCCAGTCACTAAAGTATGAGCAGGGCAAGAACTCTGTTCCCGGCTATGTAAACAACAACAACGCCTAATTTTGAAAATTGTCTCGCACATTACCGGCAATATTTGCTACCGCCAGCATTTACTGGCGACTTTTCTGACATTTTCCACTACCAGATCTCAGTTACAATGGAAGTAGTAGTAGAACCGACAAGAACAACAACAGCACCAACCACAGTCACAGCACAGCTGATACTGTTAAACATGACCGCCAAAGGCGGCGGCCTTTTGTACATTTTGTCACAAAACAGAAAAAAATAAATAAAAAAAAGTGTTCTGCGTATTGCATAGCATTGTTTTTATATGCACTGATAATGTTCTCAGTTTTGTACATTTGGCCAGCCTTTGGCGGTGTACTGACGCTGTCAACACATATTTTAACTATCGTTTCATACACAATAAAAAAAAAATGCAATGTCCGAGTGTTTTGCACAAAAGTTTCAAGGCGCACGCACAAAATCCATAGCGCATATTAAGCAAACGCTAATTTATCAATAATTGCTGTATTTTTAACAAGAATTCTGGTAAAATTTCACGTAGATTACCTAAGATTTAATTTTGTGGTTTTTCAACACAAATTTACACGACCGCGAACGTATCGGAAAAGAGGAAGTCCATCTTGCCGCATTTGACAGCTGCAGCTGTCAGTGCTACATACACACGGTTGCTAATAAAGCAGAGTTGCTTTGAGTAAATTGTAAGCGTTAAGCAGCACCGATTTTTATTCGGGCATTTGGCAACACTAGAGCTGTAATAACAATATGTCGAAACAGTAAATATTTATTCTTATCTAAAATATAAATATACTAATTTATTTATAATCTCATAGGTTTGGTTTAATAATACCTGGAAAACAGAAGAAGCAACCGGAAAGGCCGCCACATCCGCCAACCAAGCCTTCCATCTTCGATGAGAGCAGCAACAGTTCAGTTAGTGATAATGATGCAGGTGGTCCACAAAAGCGGCTCACCGGTAAAGCCGGCGTGGTTAGTGGCCCCAGCCTAATGGAGCGTCGTGTGGCAAAAAACATTCAGATGAAGGCCCTGGCCGAGGATCCAACTATATTCCAGTATGACGAACTATACGATGATATGGACAACAAACGGGAGGCGGCTAAAGAGACGAAAAAACTTGAGCCACGAAAAGCCAAATACATTGGCCGTCTACTGGAACATGCAGAGCGACGTAAGCTGGAGAACGAACTGCGCGTCGAGCGCCAAGTGCAAAAAGATCGCGAGGCAGAAGGCGAAATGTATAAGGACAAAGATACATATGTAACTGCTGCGTATCGTAAAAAGCTAGAATCCATACGACAGATGCAAGAGCAGGACGCACGCGATGACTATCTAGAATCTATTGGCGATGTGACGAAGCAGAAGGATCTCGACGGTTTCTACAGGCATCTATATGAACAAAAATTGGGCACACAGCAGGAAGTAATCAAGCCCAAGACGGCGCCCAGCACAGAGGACGTGGCTTATAAGCCAATCAAGCGAGAAGGACAAATTTCAAGCTCAACTAAACAGCGCATCTATAGAAGACAGCGCTCCTCGCTGGACGACAACGATGATACGACTGCCATAGCAACTACTCCCACAGCTGATAGCAAAACAGGCGCAGTAAAAGCGCATTTGGCCAACAATATAGATGCCGATTCAGACTTTAGCATTGACGACTCCAGCGACGAGGATGAGCCGGCGACAGCAAAGGCAGTTGCCGACAGCAATGCTGAAGACCAGTCAAAGCCAGCGGCAGAGGTCGCGGACAAGGAAAAGCAGCCTACTCTGGAAGCAGAGACTAAACCGCAACAGGAACAGTCGCAGCCTACAGAACAAAGCACCGACAATAGCATTAAGGAACCAGATGTGGAGACGGTTGTGCGAAAACCCATTGATCGCAGCTATATTTGGCGAAAGCGAACCGTAGGCGAGGCATTTGATAATGCTCTAGCCCGGTATCATGAACGCAAACTGGCCAGACGTGCCTGATCCCTGATCCTGTAATTTTATAGCTCATATAAATGCTGACTGCTGTTTCTCCAGTTTCCTTCATTTCAAACAAAACAATAACATGTATATATTTACTTGTATGTATGTGTGTCTAAATGTGAGTTTGTACTGGCTTTGTATAAATATTTTGCATAGCTGTAGAAGGACTGAAAAGAGGACAACGATACAGTAAGCACTTGCTACATGTATCGCCAAAAGTTAGATTTGTTAAATAAGTTAAGCATTTCAAAAGTTATAATAATAATTGTATATTTGAATAGTGGTATTGTAATATAGAATTAAATTTTATTCAAATTATATGAACATAAATAAATAATTTACTAACATTTTTGTGTTAAGCTGCTTTCACTGTACTCCATTTATTTTGTATGCAGGAAAAAAAAAACACTACAAAGCCCGAGTTGCCGTTCTTTTTATTTTTTACTTTTTTTTTCAATTTTACTTTTGCTTAGCCACAAATGCCGCAAATCCCTTTTATAAATAGGTGTGTCCGCCATAAAAGTGAAAGCCGGCAACGCTGACATGCTTGGGCACCATTTTTGTTGCAGCGCATTGCAGGCGTTCATATAAAACATACATACATATATATATACATACATACATATATATGTTTATATATATATAGACTGCAACCAGGACTAGAACGTGCTTCTGTCAGTAGCATTTCCTTAGTTTTGATGCTGTTGATGCTTGCCCGTGTCCTCGCCCTGCTTCTTCTGCTCCGCCTTGTCAGCGAAATTAATAGCGAAATCCATTTTCTATTTGGCAAAGCTGACTAGTGTCCCCATCTCGGTCTTTCGCACAGCTGCAGTCCGGCTGCCAGATATCTTACATATGCGCTCTGTTTTATTTATGCTGTTGCCCCTCCGCTCACTCTCTCTCCCTTACTCTATGCCGTTTTGCTCGCTTTCTCATCCGCTTTCTGCTTTCTGCTGCTGTCTGCGTTCAAGCAGATGGCTGTGGCTTCCTGCAGGTGGCTCGGCTTTGATTGTGTCATCAATCACAAGTTGCGGTTGTTTTGTTTACGCTAAGAGCTGTACTATATTTTAGGCAAATTAATAGACATGCTAACTGCAGCGCATTCTGCTTGCGCTAGAGGGAGAAAGGGCTATGTCAGATCGACCATAACGATTCGGTATCTCGCTCTGCATCGTGCAAGCGATCGCGACTTAAAGCTTTTTGTTTCTCCGTCTCTTTTGCTTAAAAAATGAAAGAGTTAATTTGAAGAAGCAAAAAGGCAAAAGAGTACATAGAGTGGTGTATGTATGTATGTGTATAATGACTTGCAGATACATGTGTACATATGTATATGTATTTGTGTATGCGTGTATGGCAGTCATTGTGAGAAACCGTAAGCAGAGTATATTCTATTCGACTATTCTCGCTTCCTTTAGTAAAACAGATTACGGTTATTCTTAATATTTTTTGCCTGGGATTTATACATCCATGCATATGTACATATGTATGTATGTTTATGTATGAATAAGCTATTACCACTACCTTGCATATGACCATGTTGTGTGTGTAGTAATATGACCCAATTGTCTCAATATGTAGTACCAACAGTAGCAACAGCAACCGAGGCTGCAGCGTGTGCCCAATGCGCCCTAATCAATTTGTGATCATAATTACATGGCTTTGGTTTTGGTCATCCGCCTCTTGGCCTTTGGCGCACGAATCGAACAATTTCAATTTGGCCCGAGCGTTCACAAGGCAAACAATGCAACGTATGGGCTCCATCTATACCCAGAGCAATAAACCAGAGCAAAGGCTTAAAGATGTGATCATTCACGTGTAAATTCAATTATCAAAATTTCGAATGGCCCCGCTTCCAACTGCTGTGGTCACTCGACTCCTGGGGCCTACTCTCTATGTGTGTCCGTGTGCATGCACTTGAAGAAAAGCTTTGTACATAAAGAAATGAAATAGTTCACAATTTTGACATTGGTGTTTATT